TCCCAGTGAAGAGAAAGGGGTAAAAAGGCCTAATGAGGAAGGAAATGATGCAGAAGCCGAACTGTTTGCCCTTCGTGCCGGGCACTTTCAGTGCGAGGGAGGTGGGAGGCGAAAGCGGAGTGCAAGGTGAGTTTCCCGTAACAGGAAGGAAGTGTGTGGAGGTGCTTTCTTCTGCACAGCGGCGTGAGAGGAGCATACTGTGGGATGCCTCCTTTCTTCAATTGACACTGCCGCAGTTGTTTTCTCTTTTTGCTTGTTTGTTTCAGTCTTGCTGTAGGTTTTGTAAAGTCATTACACACGGTGCCTATTTTTTTTGTTGGTGTTGTTGCTTGCTACCAGCAGTTTTGCGCAGCAGCGAACGCGCGATGTCACCCGACACTTTCTACGCGGTGGCGAGTACTGTGGAAGTGTACGCCACACGGGGCTCGTGCGAGCGTGGCTGGCGCATTGACGCCAAGGAGTGCGATGCCCCACCCAATAGGCTGAATGGCTTCCCATTTGCCACGGAAGAGGGTGTGGGTGTACATCTCTCGTGCAGCAAAGGAGAATTCACCGTCTCGGCGGATGTAAGTTCAAACCCAAAGGCGACATGGCGGGACTTTCTTCCCAGCGTTTCCTGGACAAGGTCGGTGCGGGGTCAGCAGCATGCATTTCTCCTGCGCCTGGCAACGACGCCGCTGGTTTCCTACGCATTGTGTCATCCGCAGTTTACCTGCTCCTCCGAGGTGAAGTTTATGGATGGCTGCAGATCCAGATTCACCGCCTCTACACGGCTTTCTGAGAAGAGCCAGTTGGGAGCAGGCGCGGAGTATGACCCAAGCCGCAGCGGCCTGATAGATTACACGGTTGCCCTCTCACGCGTGGGCTGCTCGTCGGTGTGGGGAGGCGATTTTGTCCTTCAATACAACGCCACCCGCGGGGCCGCTGTCCACACCCGCATTCCAGTTAAACCTCTGCTAAGCGCTGTGGCGCTGGTGGAACGGAAGCGCGTTCTTGTCGGCGTTGAGGCCCGCTCCCCGTGTGGCGCCCAGATGCTGATGAACGTCGATCTTGTGGGCTCCCGCGCCATGCTGGCCGTCATTCGCAACCTGGATGATATCTGGAAGCTCACCTTGAATTACTCCGCACCACTGCCTGGGGGCTCCTCCGCCCCGGCGAGGTTTGGTCTCGTCTTCACCAACCAGGACGTCCCGTAGTGCCACAGCGGATTGAAAGGGGCAGCAGAGGCGGTTCGTCTGACGCGGAAGGCGAGAAGGTTGAGTCGGGTTCCTGCGACGTGGGGAAAATAAATGACGCCTGTGCCGGAGATTCGTGGGCGGGCCGAGGATCACCGTAACGAACTGTTGGAGACAAGAGCTCTACGGAAGCGTTGGTGTCTGTGTGTGAGAGAGAAAGCGAGTCATGGGACACGGTCGCCCAACCCCCATGGGTACAGTGAAGAAGAAACGGCCGTGTGCGTTTATTCGTGTGCAAGTAGATGTGCCTATTTCTATCGATATCTATACTCATTTGAAGGTTGTCCTCACACAGCGACTAGCAAACAAAAAGAGTGGGAAATATAGGAGGCTAAACCAAACGTCCATGAGGTTGCCGTATTCGCGTAGTCTTGTTTTTAGTCGTAGTTGCTACCCTACAAAGAGAAGAGGGGATTTATTTTTTAATTTTTATTTTTTGTTTGTGAGCAGGCGGAGGTCAACTTTCAAGTAACTGAGTACATAACATTGTAATTTTTACATGCCACTCGCCTGCCCTTCTCGTGTTGTGCTTGACGCTTTTTTTTTTTTTTCACAGCTGCCACTTCCCTCCCGTTATCTACTCTCTCATAGACGCGGCGTGCACCTGCGCCCGCGCCGAAGTTTCTTGGAGGACAAGCGGGGCCCGGGAGGAAGGGGGCAAGAACTGGGCGCCACGCCCCATGCGGGCAAAACTCACCACGACATGTCTGCCGTGAATGGCAACAGTGAAGATTGCGTCGCGGTGCCGACGCTGCCTCCGTCGCGGTTCACTGAAAAACTCCCCCCTTCCGCCACCAACAAGGAGGAGGATGACACGGTGGCTACGTTGCGCAAGCAGTTCCGTTGCGCGGAGCTTAACAACTGTATTCTGCATGACAATATCGATACTCTAAAGGCTGTTGCCAACCAGTTAGCTGCGCAACTCGACTTGGCAAATAGCAGGTTGGCCTTGTACGAAGAAAAGGAACAGGCGCAGGCGCTACGACAGCTTGGACGCGAAACGCAGGGCAAAAGGAGCCCCCACTTTGAAGCCTCTGCCGCGGGGGCGGAGCACGAGGGCCGAGTTACCTCCCTCCTCAGTATCGTGCGGGAAAAGGATACGCTGCTCACAGCCCTCCGGAGCGAGCTGGGGAAGCAAAAGGAAGACGCGGCGGCGCTGCTCCGGACGTGGTTGGACAGAAAAGATAACGAAATCCTCCGACTGACGGGTGAATTGGAACAGCTACGGACAGTACAGGGCATCGGACGATATGCACAAGCTAGGAGGAAGTAACAAAGGCACACAAACACCTAGGGTGGGGCATGCGGCGTGGCAGCCATTTTTTTTTGTACGCACCGATTCACTTCATTGCCCTTCCTCCTGCTTCTCCTGCTCCTCCCCTATCCTTTCCTTTCCTTTCCTTTTTTTTTATTTTGTGGTTTATTTTATGCATCTGTTTCTTCTTGGTGTAGTTCTGCTCACGTAAACCCATCGACTCAGAATGACCTCTGTGGAATCCGGCGCCAAGGTCCTCCGCATGAAGGAGAGCGACGTGCAGAAGCTGGTCGCGATGCACTGCCACCTCGGCACCAAGAACCGCAGCAACGCCATGAAGAAGTCATCCACAGCCGCAC